GGTCCCCGTGGCTCCTTAGCTGCTGCGGGTGGTGTGGGGACCCCGCAGCTGAGCTCCCCACTTTGACATAGATATTTTTAGTAAACGTCATGGACAGGTCACAAGCATCCATGAATTTTTCTTTATTGCCCGTGACCTGTCTATGACGTTTACTAAAAATATCCATGACAAAATCTTAGCCTGAGCCATAACTAAGGCTGCAGTTTAGTCACTGAGGTCACGGAAGTCACAGAATGTGTTACTTCCAAAGACCTCTGTGACTTCAGCCAGCCCCGGCTGGGAGCTGCAGGGTCCCCTGCCTGGCGGCGGGAATCCCCCACAGCTTCTGGATGCTGCAGGTGGCAGGCGGACCCCCCCTCAGCTCCCAGCCATCGTAGGCAGCAGGGGGGACCCCTGTAACTCTCCACCTCTGCGGGTGGAAAGAGGGACCTCTGCTGTTCCCATCCACCGCGGGTGGCAGGGGGACCCCCGGAGCTCTCCGCCTCCCTGGGTGCCAGGGGAGGCTCCCGGTAGCTGCGGGTGGCAGGGGGAACCCCTGCAGCTTGGAGCCACCAGAGGAGAGGGACCCTGGAGCTCTGAGCCCCCAGGGGTGGTGGGGACCCATTGAGTTCCCAGCCCACCCACAGCTACCCAGGCTCCCCTTTTGTCATGGATATTTTTAGTAAAAGTCACAGACAGGTCACGGGCTTCCATAAATTTTTCATTATTGCCCGTGACCTGTCTGTGACTTTTACTAAAAATATCTGTGACAACCTTAGCCATAACCAATAAAGTTCATATCAAGTCCCACTGGCCCATATTCTAAAGTGCACTAAAGTTCTGCCTGGCGTACCTGAGGAGGGTTGCTGTAACTTGCTCGGGTTTGTAACAGACTTCTAGGGAAGATTATGCCAATTGGGTTTGCCAAAGCACAGCATGCTCTATCCATACTATCTCCCATCCCCAGCCTGCCACCTTTCATCCCCGGTACACCCTGGGAAAGGTGGCATAAAGTTGCTGATGTCAACTTTATGTGAATTAGGGATTTTCCTCTGAGAATCGGGGATCCCCAGCTGCCTTGTTAAAACACTACAAGAAGCGGTACAAAGGGGCCAGAGTGGAGGTTCAGGATCTTTCTCAATCATTTTATTTAAGGACCAATCAGTAACTGGGAATACAGTACTGCCTTCTAGGTCTCTTGCTTGCTATTTTCCCCCAGGATGATGTGGGGGCATTGCATGCTTTACATTGTATTGCCTTTCAAACTGTCAGTATAGCATTTCTTCTGTACACAGTGGGTAGCTGCTATTTGTCATGAAGTATTTTTTGGTAGTTGCTCATCAGTACCTTTTAACTTTACTGCACACTGTTACAGAAAATTGTTCTAATTATTATTCTGCTTGAAATTGTGGTATCATAAAGGTTCTCATTAATTATTTTGTCTTATTGTTTTATTAAGAAACAGACTCATTTATTTCTGTTTTATTGCTCAGACGCTAAAAGAAAAAATAGAGTAATAAATTAATCTTTCCATGTTTCCCAGGTTTTTTTTCTTGTGAATTTATTTTTCTCACCTCCCATTCAAACAGGTCTTGTGTCTCTTTATTACTCCCTGACATCTCATCTTCTTGCAATTTTTCAGTTGCTTACCAAGACTTTCCAGGGAACAGTCACCAAAAACCATGGACCTAACATGACTGACCTCCATAGGTTGCCAACCTTCGCTTTGTTCACTCTGCTCAGATGTCACGTTCCTTTCCCCTACCCTTTGTCTGTCTTCTCTGTTTAGATTGCAAGCTCTTCCAGGCAGCCACTGCCTATTACTCTGTGCTTATATAGTGCCTAGCACAATAGTGTCCTGATCTTGATTGGTCTCTGGGGGCTACCTTAATACAAATAATTAAAATGATCATCTCCTGTGGATTCCAGTTATATACACACACTAGCCTGATCACTGGAGAGATGCTGAATAACCTTAACCCATACTGATTTCAGAAGGGTATAAGATGAGGGGGGAGGGTTATACTGTAGTGGCAGTGCAAAACATGAAAGTGAGATCCTTGCCCCTTCTTCAGCCCCTTTACACCAGATAAAAGGACTAGTGTGGTGTAAAGAGGCCCTAAAAGCCCTGTATTTGGCTTGGGGAGAATTCCCCAAGCACAAGCATGGTGGAGGACAGCCATAAGACTGTTTACCAAGGACCACAAATTCCAGCATAGGGGGTAGGGTGGGAGGGACACATTGTAGAGATTCTGGGTAGGCCAGCTCCAACTAGGAAGGTGCAAAGTCATCATAGCCCAGTCTCTCATGTTGGGCTGTGAGTTGGCTTACCCAAGTCTTATAACTATAGAAGTCTTACCCAAGTCCCTTACCTAAGGTATCCTTATTCCTGAAGCAATTCTCATTTCATTCAACTTTCTTTCACTGTTGCCTCTGAGAGTGTTGTTTTGAGACACCAATGGGGTATATGGAGAACAGTAAGGAAGGAAGATTTTTCAGTGTCAGATGAGATCTCTTGGATTTTCTCTTAATTTCAGGCCATATCAAATATAATATCTGCTTGCTATCTGATTGTAAACTTGGGGAATGATTTGCCCAGAAAAGCAAGTCAGTAAGCTCTTTCCCTCAAGGGTTAGTTGTTTATCACCACTACAATAATTTACCAGCTGCAGAATGTCTCTTAAGTTCTGAAGTTCATTGTACTCCCCTGTACCATGATATAAGAGTTCTACCTTCCCAAAAGTATTCACTGCCCCCCCTGTCTTTCAAGCAGTCACTCTTTTAAACCATCGCCCTGAACACCTGTGTATAAGGAAGGGAAACGCTGAGCTGGAGTTACCTTTTTGTTAACGGGTTCCAGATAATGCCCCATAGCCTGACACACTCATTGGACCTATATCCTGCACTGGTAGATGGTGCTCTGTGTAATTAGGCCTTTTCTGTTCCTAACTACTAAGAAATAAAGATGCAAACAACAATTTCCTTCTGGGGCTTTAAATGTGGGCAGCTTCCCAGGAGCTGCCTGCTACCTAAATTTCCCATTATTTTCTGGACTGATCCCCATGAAGTGCAGGAAATAATTCAGCTAGCACCATTTAAGTGCCTAATTCACCAGAAAAAAACCCCAAACCTTCATCTGGCTCCAGAATCATAAAAAACAGAGCTTCTGTTGACTCAAGTCCCAACTTATGTGAAAACTGGAGAGAAACTGCATGGAAGTTAAAACAGAGCCTTTAAACTCTGAGTCATTATCATCTAACTCATAGCGCTGTAAGAAAACAACCTTTTAATTGATTATTTTAAAGGACTCATCCACAGGATTTAGTAGGCACATTAATTTAGTAGGCAACATCCTGCTTTAGTGACTCTGGAACATTAGGAAACAAAACAAACTTCAAAAACATTTGCATTCAGCCACTGTATCAGCCCAAATGTAAAACAGTAGATCACTCAGACAAAAAGTAGAAAGCGGTCAAGGTCCAATAACAAAGTCCATTCAGTCCAGTGCCATCAGTCCAAGTCGGCACATTTACATTATGTGGCCTGATTTTCCTCATGCCTACATGGGTTGTAACTCAACTGGCTTCAATAAGGATACTAATGATTTACATCAAAGTGAAAGGGAATCAGATCTATAAACTGGATTTTATACTCTTCTCCGAATTCTAGGTTATGGAACAGCTTTTTCCTGCTGGAGGTCTGAATGGATTCCCCCCCCTTTTTTTTTAGTGGGTTAGATGATGCAATGATACTAGAGCATTTGGGGCTTCCTGCTGCATGTCCTGAATGCCTCCTGTAAGATGTTGAGCACCCACAATTAATGCTCGGCACCTGACATGATTAAGCACTTAAGCCTGGATCCTGCAAAAACTTATGCACATGCTTAACTTTAAGCACTATGAGCAGCCACCCAGAAGTCTAGGGTGATCTGTATGGTTGCAGGGGCCATGTGCACAGAGTCAAAACTGGGATCAGGACCATAATTAGACACTGGATCTTATTCTCAGATACTATAAGTGTGGGACAGTTATTAATAGAAACCAGTTTCTAAATGGAGGTCCACAGAGGCAAGTGAATGGAAACCTCCCTTGGAAAAAGTAACAGAGGGTCCTACCCCTCTAATACTCTCCCTTGGAAAGTATAGACTGAAATCACCATAATGTCCCAGGCAGGGTATAATATTTGCAGTGTTTTTCTAGCTGTGTTGGTGCTAGGATATTAAAGAGACAGGGTGGGTCTCTCTACAGGGAATAATAATGTTTTTATAGCCATATTTACCCTGTTGTTTTTTCTTCCTCTGGCAGCTTAGTTTGAAACTACCTTGCTCCGAAGAAATGGGTGGGGCACCATATTGAGAGTGCTTTTGGCCAGTTGCTTGTCGGGGAAGATAGATGAGGATCTTGTCAAACTTGGTTGGGAGGCAGGGGGAAAGGGCTGAGGATGCATTTTGCTTTGTCCGTTTGTTTTTTGCCCGAACAGTGACAAGCCAGAGAACGGGCTGGTGAAAGTACACGGCGAGAGACCTGGTTTGGGAGCAGGGGCAGAGCTTGGGGGAGGGGAAAGGTGGAGCTAAGAGAGGGTGGGGAAGAGAGGGATGGGAGGCTGCTCGTCACATTCAGCCTGGAGCTTGGAATGAGGAGTCTTCATTCATTCACTGAAAGCCAATAGGGAAGGACCAGAGCAAAGGAAAACTGGAGGCTCAGCTGACCACCTTCTGCACCTCCAGAGAAGGAGGAGGAGCACAGCCGCAGCAGAGTATCGATTCACCCCCCCCCCTTTAATTAAGAGATCAAAGAAACTACTGGAAAAAATACACACCCCTCTTCCCCAATCAAACACATGAAGAGGGGAAGGGGAGGCATGATGTGTCTCCTGGGAGGGACGCCTGTGCTTCGAACCGTCTGATGCTGCAGCAGTTCGCCATTGCGAACCACAGTTCGGAGCCAGCCAAAGGAAAAGCCGGGGGGAAACCCCTGCAGCCCGGCTGAGATTTCTGCGTGCAAGACTCCCGCTGCACTTCAATGATCGGACCCCGGCCGAAGGGAGGGAGCAGCACCCGGATGACCCTCCGCTCCCTGCTATGGCTCTTTTTGTTCCTCAAGGTAAGGGAGAGATCATATGCATCAGCCTCCGCCCCCCCTCCCCCCCGCCTGCCTTGCATCTCCCTCCCTTAGCGGGGGGGATCTGGGAGCTAGGGCAGGGCAGATGTGCGGGTGGATTCATTGATTGTTGTCTCCTTCCTGCATGTTTTTTGATGGATGTGTTTTTTAAAAAAGTGGATTTGTCACATTTTCTCCCTCCCGCCTCTCCCTTTGTGCTCCTTAACCATGAATAACAGGGGCTGGCGTCAAAGGTCGGTTGGTTGGAATATGCTTTCTAAGGCAAAATGAGGTCACTTTCACAGGGTAATCTCTCTCGGCTCCTGTATCCTCCAGTGCTGGCAGGCACATGCAGAGGAGGGCTTTTTGTTCCTCCACGGAAACATGTTGCCTTCCGTGGGATGAAGACTTAAGAACCAGCGCTGCTGTTTTATTGTTTGATCTCATGGTGCCCATTGCAAGTGTGTGCTGATGAGCTTCAGTTTCCTTGGAGCAGAGAGAGAAATCAAAATGAAAATATGAGACACATCTTTAAAGTAACCATTCCTGCTTTAATAAACCTCCCCTTTGGTCTTTCCATTGCACTGCAACCGGTGCTGTCATCAGTACCGGAAAACCTATTGTGGCTGTTTATAAATTCTGTTTTGAGATGCAGAACCTGATCCTCAGCTGGTGAAAATCCAGCACAGCTCCAGTGAGGTGAATTGAGCGATGCCAGTTTACATCTGGCCTTTTATGTGTCAATTAATCATTGCATGCATCCGAAATGTATACCGTACTAATATGCCGCCAGGCTACAGTAGCTGCTGCTGCTTTAGTTTTATACAATTGTTCTGCCAGGGCAAAGTTATTTAATTACTGGGATATCAGCAAACATGTTGAAAGGTTGACAATATGATATTCATCTGAGAGTGATTTGAAATTTAATTGCACAGTAATTAAGTTCCATTATGCAGTAAGTTCACTTAGTTCTTTCCTCCCAACTGATTTTTATCAGCAGAGACTGTCTAGGAATGCAAGGAGGTAAACTGGAGCTATCCCTTCAGCACCCCACTGATACCTTACCTACAGCCTGCTTCTGCAAGGTGCGGAAGCCTAGAGTAATTGAGGGGCACTCAGCCCCTCAAAGACACTCAGCCCCTTGGACAGGATCAGCCCAATAAATAATAGAGAACTTCAGAAATGCGTAGTCTGGCCATGAAAACATTCTATCACTAAATATATCTGTTTTTTCATGTGTTTTATGTATTATGAGGGCACCATTGTGATCATGTAAAGCACAAATGGAAAAAATATTTTAACCATAACTATGCTTAGCTTTACCTTCAGATTATTACCATTCTCGGCTCAAGCTCAGAATGTCGTCCTGGGAGATTCTCTTTTCAAAGTTCTGCTTAACGCTGCAAGCTTGGTTACACATGACATCTTTGTCTTGATGCTTTTGGGACTTTTTAATGTTTCCTTCAGCCTATTTAATATGCTTCATGTAACTCCACTAAAGGGAAATGTACGTACCACACAGGCATATGGCATTGTCTATAATTATCATTGCACTGAAATTACAGTATTCTGCACATTTTACAAAACCAACCCACAGTTTTGGATAATTGTCACTGCTTAAAAGAGCTCCTCAGCTAAGGGCCTGATCCTACAATTCCTCTTTCATGTGAGTAATCCTTACTGGTGTGAGTAGTCTCACTGAAATCAATGGGACTACTCATGTAAGAGTTTGCAGGATCAGGGCCTAGAATAGCAGCGGTGTTGCTAGTAAAGACTGACATTCTGTTTCCAGAACTATTTAGGAGATGCTTCCACCACATCTATTCAAATTATATTTGTTGGAAGCTAGTCTCCTCACTTCCACAAGAAACATAGATTTGTTTGAGGTAAAATGGGAATGGAGAGAATAGGCTTTTGTTTCAAAGAGTTTGATCACAGATTCTTTTAGAAAGACACTGTTACTGTGTCCTTGCAGTCTTGCAGATAGATGAAAAGTCTGCAATTAATTTATATGCTAGCTCAGGTTCCGATTCAGCAAAGCACTTAAGCACGTGCATTGCTTGAAGCACATGCTTTAGTCTGTTGATGGCAATGGGACTGTGTTATGTGCGTAAATGTTTTGCTAAAGCTTTCCATCAGCACTATGAGACCAAAGTTTGCTGCTACAAAATAAAAGGAAAACGTGTTTTTACATGGAACACATTCTACCTGTAAAATAAATGGTAAGAAATTTAGAAAAGGAAAAAGTTCAGAAAGCTAAAGCCTCAGGGTTTCATCCCAGGAGAAAATAACCACCACTTCTGAGCCAGATAAATATCAATAGTACCACTGACTATTGCTGCTCAAGAAAGGTCAAGGACTAGAATTGCAGGAGATGCTTCAGGGTGATAATGAAGTGTATTAACAGAGTTGTATGGTGGTTTGGCACTGAAATATCAGGGAAAGCTTGCAGATCAGGATTGCGGTGCATTGGAAGCACAATGTATGACTGTGAATATGATATTAGTGGGATGGCAAACTTACTTTTATTAATTCATCTGAATGGTCACTAGATGCTTTGAGGAGGGGTGCATTACTGGAGTAAACAGGGGTGTGAAAGGACAGGACTGAAATGCATTGGAAGAGTTAGCCGAGGAAGCTTGCATAGAGCCTAACCACTCTGTCTGTGCATATATCCAGTCAGAAGTGTGACTGCAGCACATGTAGATACCCTAGCTACCTTTGATCTAGATATAACTCGAATAACAATAACAGTGAAGCCATGGCAGCATAGGTGGCAGCACAGGCTAGCCACTTGAATACATACCCATGGTCTTGGACAGAGTTATACAGCCTATGCTGCCTCCTGTGCTGCTTTCGCTTCATTGCTATAGGTACCCACCATAGCTAGATCAAAATTAGCTCAAGTATGTCTACATGTGCTACAGTGCCAATTCTGACTGCAGGGTAGATATACCCTTAGTGTTCAGTTCAGACCACTGCTATGAATCCCTTTTCATGAGCATTAGGACAAGAAGCAATGGGCTTAAATTGCAGCAAGGGTGGTTTAGGTTGGACATTAGGAAAAACTTCCTGTCAGGGTAGTTAAGCACTAGAATAAATTGCCTAGGGAGGTTGTGGAATCTCCATTTTTGGATATTTTTAAGAGCAGGTTAGACAAGTACCCATCAGGAATGGTCTAGATAATACTTAGTCCTGCCATGAGTGCAGGGGACTGGACGACATGACCTCTCGGGGGTCCCTTCCAGTCCTATGATTCTATGAAATTCACTCCATTGTCTTTAAAGATCAAAACTTTTTTTTTTTTTTTTGCAATGAAAAATGAATGAATTAAAGTCAACATTTCTGCACAAAGCATTTTGTTCATTTTATGCTGTTTAGACATGCCAGCGTGTTGGAGGCAGGTTAGCACTGGCTCCTTAGAAATACTGAAGTTTGCCAACCTGGCATTATTAAGTTGATATTTTGCCTGGAAGTTAATCTCATTGAGAAAACAGCTGCACTGAACTGAGAATCTGAAGAAGGGCAAACAGTGTCTGTGTGCTTGCTGCTTCAGCATTAGTGGACCTAATGTCACTTTCTAAGCTGCATCTGTTTGGTAGGGATAAAATGTCACTCTTACTGCCATCTGTAAAACAACCACTAGGAAGCTTTGCCCAGTGACAAACCTGCTCAAGCTACTTATTCTCTTCCCTGCCTGACATTGTGTTTCATAGTTTTAGAGATATACGTTCGCAGCTGAGACATGAATCCTGATGTGGTCCAGTGCAATAGCATTTATTCTCTGAGGTTCATAGAATATCAGGGTTGGAATGAACCTCAGGAGGTCATCTAGTCCAACCCCCTACTCAAAGCAGGACCAATCCCCAGGCAGATTTTTGCCCCAGATCCCTAACTGGCCCCCTCAAGGATTGAACTCACATGCTTGAGTTTAGTAGGCCAATGCTCAAACCACTGAGCTATCCCTCCCCCCTATAAAAGGACCAGATACCTTCTGCATGTTAGACCAACATAATAACTGCTACACCACAGAAACCACCTACTACACCATTTACTTATCTTGAAACACCTCACTACAAACCTTAACCCACACAATGCTCTTCACCAATGGCTTTCCCAACTGACAGTTGATTTAGAAACTAGCAAGAGTAAGGAGTTCACCTGGGGAGCACAGGCCAGAGATCAGTAAGGATTTACAGGAGGGCAGAGGTGAAGTAGGTTAGAGCTTCCTTCAGAAAATTGTCACAGCCTTTCTGCTACAGGAATCCCTTACTGACTTAGCACATTACTTAACCCTACTGGTTCCCAAAAGCCTTGAGAATCAAGTTCCATAGTGTGTTTATATGTGTTTATGTATTTAGATTTAAAATTATAAAAACATCATTCCAAGACTCGAGGCACCCTAACATAATTAATCATATAATAACTAAACTGCTATTAAATTAAACCTCAACAACATTAAAATCCACTTCACAGGAACTTGTCTGGCCAATCAGGCTGCAACCTTCATCATCTAGGAAGCACATCCCCAGCCTTCTCCCAAAATCCTATTGAACACATTTTCTTTTGCAGTGTGCCTGGAGAGTCCCCAAACTTGGACCAAGGGGGGTGCAAGTTCCAGAGTCTCAGGCCCTCACAGAGAAGGCCCTGCCAACTGTAGCCTCTCATATAATGAAACTGATCCAGCTCGAGTGGCCCCTTTTTTTCTGCAGCTATGGCAGTATGGCATGGTGAGAGAGGCAGTCCCTCAGACAAGTCAGGCCCAGGCCATTTATAGTTTGAGGTCCTAATCAGCACCTTAAACTCCACCCAAAGACCAGTGAGCAACTAGTGCAGATCCTGACACTGGTGTCATGATGACCTTCTCAGTAAGCAAACTGCTGAATTCTGTTCCACCTTCAGTCTCTGAATGGTTTTAAGGCATAGTCCCATGTAGAGCAAATTGCAATACCCTGATCATGAAGCGGCAAAAGCAGGGGTAACAGTGTGAAGGCCTGCACCTG